TGTAATATAGTCAAATCACTTGATTTCTACTTTCCTTTTGAATCCTACATTTGTGCCAAATGAGAGCTGCCCTGAGAATGCCCTGCCTTCTTAATTGTGGACTATGCTAACAATTAAGACATGTTGTCTAATGTCTTCCTGAAAGACAGTTAAATGTGAGTAACCTACATTTTCCTTCTATTTTCCTATTCTGGCCATCAGTATCTCATTTTTCATTTCATATGTATCCAATCTATCTCTTAATGTTTCCTCATTTCTATTAAGGAAATCTCTCTCCACTTTTAGCTTATTTATTTTCTATTTTGTTTTCTGTAAGACAGAATCCACTCTAGTTCTCTGTTGATATATTTGCAAACTTGATTTCTAGAGGCAGTGCTCCAATATCAGGCTTTTTAAATTGCTTTCTTATCCTTTGGCTTTACTATGATTTTATGGGTATTTTAACTAATTCAGCTTAAGAAATTGCCATGTTTTTGCAATAAGAGCCACCATTTCTTTCTATTAATGTTTTAATAAAATCTAACACCTTTTCATGTGAAAACTCATTTTTGGGTCTCAGACATAATTTAGAATTAACATGAGACCACATATGACCCTGGTTATTGTGTCTGGGGGCAATCACTTTCATCTAACGTGAACATTTCCTGTTCCCTACCTGACTTCTTATCCCAAATAGAATTGCCTACCAAGGAGTGCTGACAAGTTAAAGCTAGAAGCTCACACACAGTTCCTCTGTGGCACTCATTCAAATCAGCAACTTTAGAAAAAGGAGGACATATTGTTTTGTTCAACAATGTCTAAGGAAGATTGCATTCAGCTTTAGCATCTCCTGCAATACAAGGTAAAGCTAAATATATACAATTAAATATCAAGATCTTGTACTGCAAAGCCCACTACGGTTTGTCGAAATCCATCAGTGCAGTCCCCAATTTGAATAATGTCAAGCAGTACACGCCTCAATTGTGACTTTAGGCTCCGCATCTCCCTCAACAAAGAGAGGCAGAGCTTACCCTTATTGAACTCATAGTCTAGAGGTACTCTCTCAGGCAGGCTGACGCCTGAGAGGTAGGGAGAAAAGGGGGATTAATTAATCAACAATCATTTTTATGAAAACATTAAATCAGATCAAAGAAGAATATGATTATGTTAATGAAGTCAGAGCACAGAAAAAAAGAGCAGAATTACAGAGTGTATTTTTGGAGTAGATCAGGAAAATATATTAAGACAATTTAAGCAGAGAATGCTGTGATAAGGCTCTTATTTCCTGACACATGATAGGTGTTTAATAAATTTGTTTTTTTCAGTATACATCAATACGAAAATTTTTGTTTTGATCTAGAGTTGAAGCTACAAAAATAATTTATGTACATTCTATGCAGTCTCCTACATTTTGTGTAATCCTGTCATCTGTCTTGGCTAGAAACATTGACTCATTAGCTCCAAGGTAAACAAACTGAATTTCTGAACAAACTGAAAAAAAAAAGAATTTCAGCAGTGACAAAACCTTGCCTTATTTTAACTGCCAAAGCCACTGAAAACTTACTTAAATTCATGAGTGAAACACAATCCAGACAGGATTGCCATGTTTTCTCTGCCTCTGTTTTTTTCTGCTTTGTCTAATGTCATCTATCAGATAAACACCACCTGTGAAATGTTATGTTGCGGTTTCCTCAGTAACAGTCTCAGCAATGCAATAGCATTTGCAAAGTTTTGTCTTGACCTTTGTACCCTTTTTTAAACAATGTACTGTGAAAAATTATGTAGAAGCTAAAATAATTATTGGAAATAATTTGGAAATATTGAAAATAAATGGAAAATAAAATAATAATTGGAAAATATTATGTATATTGACCCATCATGAACAAATCACGTCACTTACATATCACTTGAAAAGAGACAAATCTCAGGCTTAAATAAATATAAAATAGGAATAGTATAAACTGTTTCAAAAATGTACAATCTTAATGCCGCTGGGCCATCAAAAATGCACTACACTGCCCCAAGCAATTGAGAGAGAGAAAAACAGTGTGAGTCCTAACCTATTATGGGGGAAAAATGTATTACACGGGTTTTGCACTTCTGGCTACCTATTTCGCCATGTTGACTGAGTAAAAGAGGAAAAGGTCCAAGTTAGTATAAGTCAGATGTTATCCGGGGAAAAATTGAATTAGCATTCACTTCTATTAAGAACATGAATTCTTAATTGAATCAGTACAGAGAGATCTTGTGATGTAGAGGTTAAGAGCACAGGCTCTGGAGATGAAGAGGCATAATTCAAATCCTGGCTATTTCACTTGTAACCTGTGTGACAGTGTGCAAGTCACCTTTCTGTGCCTTAGGTTCCATATCTGTATGTTAGTAGTATCTGTTTCAGAGTAGTTTTATGTTGTATATAATATTTTCTATTATTTAATAGTAAGTGTTTGCTATTATTTTAGTAATAGTTCATTATCATCCCATTCTCTCCAGCAAAGGTGGTATGGGCAGCTCACATATTTGGATTCTTAGTCCTGGTGAATTAACACAGTTGCTGGACTACACCATGCTCATGTGTTATCACTGGTCTACACCACGGTACACTTCTTCTGTAGATCTCCTTGGTCACTCTTCACAAAATTGCCGCCTAATGCTCTATGTAGTTGTGAGTTTTATTGAGCATTGAGAGATAGTCTTTTGAAGGATACTATATGCCATTACTATATAACAAAGAGTTCACCCATGATCTTAAAAATTCTTTCAGTAATTCTCACTAACCATCAACACGTATGGTGTGCCAATTAGATCATCTTCATATTTTTTCCCCTCTCTCTAGGCCCTGTCTACCCTTTCTTCAGATCCTCCTGGAAATTCCAAATTTCTTACTTGATTATGAAAATTAATTTTGTTCTTTTTGTCACAACGTTTTTATTTCCTATGTGATATATTTTAGGAGGTAATTAGCAGTTCAATGTGCTTTTCTGAGTTAATAATAGACAATCTTGGTTTAGAGTAAGTAAGTAATTAAAATTTATTGTGCATCTATTTTATTTCAGGAATATGTTTATGTTTAAACAAATAAAAAACCAGAATTAATGAAAGTGTGATATTTGGAAAATAAAGCATATTGGAAGAATACACATCTAGAAAGTGACAGGTCCAGAATTTGGACATGAAGGCACCACACTGTGATGAAATGTCCCTTTACAACTTTTATATATAGAACATTTTTTCTCTCAGATTGACCTTATATGTGCTTTCAAATTATTCAGATGTGTACAAATCTTACCTTCAGAATTGTATTAATTAAACCCAATAACAATATGTATTGAAACCATTGAAGAGAAATACATATAATCAGCAACTGTGGAGTGCCTTTTACCCCTCTGTGTCACTCTTTAATTTTAAACATTGAACTTTGTGAGTAGCTGGAAGTAAAGGAGCTCCTATTACCTTAGAATAATTTGTATAGAGTAGTTCTTTGCTGGCGGTTTCATTGGAGGCATGGTCAGCTGCATACTTTGAGGTGTCAGTGCAAAATGAAAATGTAGGGCCCTGGCTGGGTCCAGGAAATCAGTTTCCTTTTCCCAGAGCCCACCACTCTGAGCCATGCAGACCCCCAAGGGATTGCAATTTCCATGCTATGATGTTCTCAGTATCTGGGTGGGGAGTGGGTAAGAGGTCCCTACCAAGTCCCCTTGGAAGGCACCATGGAGCTACCTGCCTGAGTCAGGGAAGGCTGCTGCCTTGTCCAGTCCCAGATATGGCAGGGCCCTCAGTGTAATGGGACCCTACCCACTCCAGTCCAGCATTGTCTGATAGGCCTCACTTACAAAACACAAATTCAAACATAAGAAATTAAAAACGTTGACTGGAGAACATTAAACCCCAAGTGCAGGGCCCTTTTGAGTGCTGGGCCCTATACAACATCACTGGTCAACGAAGTCAACCCTGATTGTAAGAACTGATGGAGAGTTTAAACACTATTCACTTGGAAGAATTACACTGCTGTCCATACTTACTTTGATCCCTGCTTATGAAGACAAGGAGAGCTGGATATCCCTCTAATGGATGCCCATCTGGGACCTTATGCTCAGATTATAGAAGATGGACTGGAAATCTGCTGTGAAGTTAGATGCCTAAGTATGGACATTGGGGGAAATGAAAATGTTTGACAGATACAATGGAAGAAAGTTACATCCCAGCTCAAGTAAACAGTATGATAAAAACACCAGGGAAGGGAAGTATAAGGCATATTTTGGAGAAAAAAGAATAGACATATATTGCTGGATTAGAGAAGATGGAAAAATAATGGGAGTAAGACTGAGAAAGAAATTTGGACGAGATTGTAAAGGATTTACATTCAATTGAAAGAATATTTGAAATTCAAATGTGATCCATTAAAGGGAAATGATACAGCCTGATATTGATTGATTTAAAATTTAGTTTTATTGACAGAAACTTTTTTCCCTGATGAGGATTTTGAGTTAAAAGGGCTACATGTTCATAAAATTCATTTGCTAAATTTCAAACTGTCAAAGAGAAATGTGGTATAGTCAGGAAAACTAGGAATTGGGGACCTGAATACTAATATTTTGAGGATCCTTAAAGCATCCAGGTAGGAGTGAGCCTTGTGAAGGGAGAGTTATGGAGAATAATAGCCTAGAGGAAGTGTAAATTTTCAAATCCATACAAGAACCAACCCAAATTACAAAAGTAGGAAAATATACAATGAAAAATCGGTGTTGAAGTTAGGGAATAATGCCCAACACATCACTACAAACATTGAGTAAATCCTGAAATTCCTGACAAAGGAATTGTGTGATAAAGGAGAGAAGGATCTCTTCATATCCCAATCTTGAGGAGCAATAGCTGAAGGCAAAGTCAAGGTAGAACAGTAGAAAGAAATAGACGATTTTAACTAAGACTGTTTTAATAGTTTGGCAAATCAGAAACCACAGACAGCTATGTGTAGGTGGTTGTGAATTAGGTCAGAATACACAAGGAAATAGACACACACAGTGTGGAGAGTAGATTTTCTTTTAATAGATGCTTTTGCCATTGTGCTTAGTGTGTTCATTCTAAATTAGAGCTGGCAAGCAACTTTTTTGACAGGAAGACCATCAACTGAATGGATATCATACTCTCTAGCATGGTAGAATTTTCGATACATCTTCATGGTAATCCTGGAATATAATCAGATGAGATTCAAGTAAGATGTTAAAGCTTCTCTCCAGATGCAGCTATTTCTACCAGAAGAATAAGTACAAACTCTCCTGCTGAGGCTGTGTGTTCCAAACCCACCACATTAGGATTCTGACTGGTTAAAACCATGAAATAAACCAGTCTCATACACCCCTTTTCATGGGCATAATGGTTTTCCCCCAAATTCATATGTTGAAATCCTAACTGCCAGAACCTCAGAATGTGACTATATTTAGAGACAGGGATATTAAGCAGATGATTATGGTTAAATGAGGTCATTAAGGTGGGCCCCAATACAATGTGATTGATGTCCCTATAAGAAGAGTTAACATACGAAGGAGATACCATGTGAAGAAAGAGGGAGAAGATGGCCATCTACAAGCCGAGAAGAGATGTTTCAAAATAAATCAACACCGCAGACACCTGATCTCAGACTTCTAGCTTCCAGAACTGTGAGAAAATAAATTTCTCTTGTTTAGGCTACCCAGTCTGTGGTACTTTATTATGGAAGTCCTGGAAAATTAAAACAACCCTCCCACGTAAATAATAGGAAAGCCTTATCAACTATACCTAGTAAAAGGTAAAGAGGGTCCAATTGACATCCAGTTATACTAGGTTTAAGAAAATAAATGTTTTGAATATACTTACATTCAAGTTTGTATAAGTAGGGGGAAATGTCATGGAATAGAAGTTTCTGAAGAGAGAAACAGAACATATTGAATACAGTTGATGGCTATACTTTTATTCCCAGGTCAATTTATTTATTAAATTAGAGACAATAAATAAAAACTCTAATTTCTTTGCAAATTAAAGTCTTTTATGAAATAAATATATTTCAGATGATTCTAAACCTTCAGCATTCTGTAATGTCCTTTATGTCTAAATAAGAAAACATCATGATCAAATGAACTTTGAGATTTTCCAAGTCTTTATTGAATTTTAGGAGGATTTGGTATAAATAGGATATATTATAATAGTTGGTTCATTTTAAGCATTTTTCACAAATGCTGCACACCAAAATCCCCTTTTGAAATCTCCTTCTCCATCCTCTTTATCATTACCATTTTCCCAATTAACTCTTCATTTATTCTCCATAAATATTATTAAAACAAGGCTACTGGTGCAAATGGTTTTCACTGCAGGTGTGAGGCAGCAGTTGATACTAATAGATGTGGCAAGAAAAATTTAAATGCTGAATATCACTGTCCTAAAATTTGATGTCTGTTGCACACAAAGAGGATTTCTCCCTGGCTTTCTTATGCCCAGTCTTATTGCTATCTTACCCTTACCTCTTAGGATAACTTTCTCCAGCACTGACTGCTAGCTTCCCTCCCTCCTCTCAGAAAAAAGAAAAGAAAAGAAAAAGGAAAATCTCTGTTTATCTCTTACGGAGAGAAATTGGCTTTCTCTAATGTAAATGTCTTCTAGCTGAGCTATGCTTGGAAGGCGTCTTTATGCCCAAATATCTCATTATTCCGTTAAGGTACTTTACCTGAGACAAAGAAGATTTCTCTTCCTAGGAGGAAGTTACTTATCCTGCTAAATCATCTGAATCAATTGGCATGAATCTTTTTCCTTTTTGTCACTTTCTTACAAGCAATGATTAACAAGAAGCTAATGTAACAATATGAAATTAACAGGGAACTGACAGAGATGACAAAAGAATTTAAACCAAAACAACAAAAAGTCCTATACTGGAATATGTAGTACAGTATATACTATAGGATAGTGAATCACAGAAAATATAACAATAGTGGGATAACTGGCTAGCACACACCCACACAAAAAGTCAATTAAAATTCTAAAAAAAAATAAATGAATGATGTGAATAAAAAAAATTGATAAGTCAAAAATGCAATCATTGAAGACTCTTAATACCCTTCACCTACGTGCAGTTCACAATAGGGCGTCTGGGAGACTTTTCACATTGTCATAGTCTTGATCACCCTCATTTGCTTCACTCCCCTTAGGTGATTCAGGGAATCACTCCCACTGAGAGCTGTTCTTTGTTGGCTATAATGCTTGGGTGAATAAAGGACAGGAGAAGAGGAATCATCCTTCATTGATTTCTACCTGTACCTCACAACTCTATCATCGTGATGCTAAATTTTATATCTTTTTTCTGCCCAGGAGGAGCAGCTGGGGGCAATGATCTTCCCATGGCAATGTGCCAGAGAGAAAAGCTGTCCCATAACCTGTTCTCTGACCATAGGGAGGAACTTCTGCTACCAGAGGTTGCTGCTTTCCCTCAATCTTTGGCCACTTTCTTTACCCAGCTTTTGAGTGTTTGTTATCAGCTTTTATTTGACATTCATTCATTCATTCATTCATTCATTCATTCCTGTCTCTGGATCTGAGCTTTGACTGGGAATAAGCAGTTGATATTAGTCTCCATCCTTCCATTTTGTCTGGTTTCATATATATTTGAAGTTGAATAGATACTATATTGGGGGGAAAAACAAGAAATGAAACTAGAAGGTTAGAATATGCATAGGCACAGTTTATAACTGGATACAAGGAGAACATCCAACAGTCAAAGACGCAAAAGCTCTACTCTGAAAAGTAGTGATCCATTATCATTTGACATGCTCATGTAGACACTCCAGGAACATTCGAGGGGAATATTTTAGAGAGATCCATGTTAAAATTGTCTCAAGGATTCTTTTATTTTTGATATCATAAAATTTTCAAACACTGTGTAGTGCTTAATCTTGGTATGAATTAAATCACAGCTTTATTTTTTCTCTACAAAAATGTATTTCCAATGCCCATGCATGTTTTTGGTTTAACTTCCTTTATTATGAAGCTGAACCACACCATTCTGTGTTCTGTCACTCTTTGACCCTTTCTACACACTATGAAACTTTTTATTGTATTATTGCCAAATATAAGAATTGCAAGTGTAACTACTATGGCAACTACTTCCTTTTGCATGCAATAACTTAGGAAATTTAAACAAATTTAGCATGTATTATAACTTTTTGAGGAACATAAAATTAATTCTTGAACAGTTTCAGCACCTTGAGTAGAGATTACCTATTGTGTTTTCCCCTAATACTTCAGTCTGCTAAGAAAACTAAGAATCATTCTCCAGATACCCCCTAATATTTCCTCATAATAATATTTTTCATTCATAACATGATATTCTTTATTTCCACAGACAACTTTATTTTTATCATGTATTAGGCTCTAAAGTAGGCTGAGAGCAGGAGTTCTATTTGAATCATTTAATAAGGCAAGGCTTGAAATGGAAGCTATGCTTTCTTAGAAATTATTAGTTCTCTGAGATGCCATATTGAAGAATGGTCAAAGCTCCAGAATTCTTCCATCTGATGTATTTACTGATGAATTATTGTCCAATGGATTAAGAAAAGTAGATCTAACAGAACATGATGTAAAAATGCTAAAATCACTGAAAGAAGACCAGGGAGATAGACAGATAGATCGATCGATTGATCGATTGATCGATTGATCGATAGATGATAGATAGATAGATAAACAGACAGGCATTCCAGATTATTAGGAAGCTTTTAAGCAATTCTTTATCTTAAAACAGCTATCATTCCCCTCTCATTCTTGAAGAGAATGATCCAGGTTTTACCAAGTTATTCCTTCATGACTTGACAAAGGTATATGTTTCAAAGAGAATTTGAATGTCGTTTTTAGAATAGATTTCATGCTTTCCCTGGACTATCACATTCTCAAGGAGGCCAAACTGTGTAAAAAATAATGAAAATACCCACAAAACTTCCAAAGTTTTGAATATTTATAGACCTTAGGTTAATATCTCCTTCTGTGGAGAAGAAGTTTTTTGTATACTTCATGAATAAACTTTAGAAAACTTCCCTATGTAAACCCATAGAGTAATGGTTTTGGATTTTTGCCGTCTCTTGCGAGATGGAGCTACCTAAAACTGTATCAACAGCACTTTATCCTCTTAGCCACCCTCCCTTACTCTACTTTTCAAAATCAGTTAGCTCTACTTGGATCCCATATTTGTCACTTAGGTGGTTTCATCAGGTTTCAAGTATCATTACAGAATGACTGTCACCTCTTCTACAGAAATAACTTAAAGTCCCTTAACCTGAAGTAGCAAAGTTCAATAATAAGTGACTTAGCCATCAAACCTATGTGACAATGTCAGAAATTAAAGGATTTTTTTGAGAAAAAATATAACTACTTCATGTCTTGTAGTACTTGGTAAACCTACCTTATCAAAGTTATATAGCCACATAAAACAAAAGAATCCAAGAAACTTTCAACTTCGTAAAAGCAAAAAATGCAGAAGAAATGCATGCTGTCCTTATGATCCAAAAACAATGAGCAGAAAAATGAAAAATGCCAGTCAATTAATTGTATGTAGGGATGTGTACATGCATGCATGGATAATTTGGGCACTGTCAATTTTTCAATTCATGTACAGCAAGGAAATCCTTATGTAGGAGGGGTTAGAGGACTTTCTTGATCATTAGCAGATAGTCTTACTTCTATCCTTTCATCTTATGTAATACCGTATGTGATAAACTCATCCCAGTTCTCGATTGTCTTCTGATTCACTAAGAGCTGACCTATTCTTGATGGTCTTAGAAGAAATTTAACAAGGTTCCACTATCCAAGGCTATAATTCCTCAAAGATCTGTCATTATATTTTTCATGGCATGATCTAACAAGTGAATACCAAAGTTGTTTTTCAGGTTTGCTCTTTGTTTTCTTAGTTATTGCTGCATAGATCTGCTCAATAATTCCAAGAGGTTGAGTTATCTTATGCTGTCTTTAAATTGCCTTGGTTATTTTTGAAGGTTTGCTTTCTGCTTTGGAATCACTTCCAAATCCCTCCAAGACACATAGTTTATTGTATCCAGCCTGAAATCTCAATGCATAGCTTTAGCTGAATTTTCTTCATAAAAGAATATCACATGAACATAAGACTTAGACAAGGAGTTTTGCAGATATCTTTCCATTTTAGTCAGATAAGGAATACCTATGATTTAAGTTCTGCCTGGAGCATATTATGCTAACAACCAACTATTTCTAATTTATTTTTTCTGTTGTATACTGATAAAAAATCTTCCAAATTCAGTGAATAAGGATTAAAAATAGCTGTTTGAATGAATTGTTTACTACTAGTAAATGACATAGTTCACATTTGTTTTGTACAAAGCAGAACAAATAATGGTAGAAAATACAGGATTTGAGTATGACAGCCTTTTGTTGAATCTTAGCTCTATTTAAATTCAGAAAAATACCCTCAATTTCATTTGAAATTGCAGTATCATCATCCACAAAAGTGAATAATAATAATTTATTTAATGGGTAATTATGAAGATAAATAAAATAAATTATGAAGATTAAATAAGTTATATAAAATATTTAGAATAGTGGTTAGTTCTGAGAAAGCAATAAATAAATATTGTTTGTATTGTCATTTTCTTTTGTTACTGTTGATGATGTTAGTTTTCTCTTTTTATCAGATTACCCCTTGTTTTATCCATTATATAATTTCAATTTTTACCTAATTTCTTCCATCAAATTAAACGCTAGATAGACTTAAAAATGTAAAATTATAAAACCTTAAATAAGATAGAAAATGATATAGATAAATAATGATATAATGTCAGATATAAGATAGTAGTTTGGAATTCACAATACGCTTCTTCTGCCCATCATTTCCTCTCCATTCCTGTACTACATCTT